TTGACCTTCCGCTGGAGGGAGTAATTAACTTAGGGAGGGTAATTATACGAGGTTTGAAATTTGAACGTGTTTTATAGCATTTGCTTGGGGTAATTATTGTTTCAATCTATCGCTTGATGGGATTAATTAATGGAAGTGGGGTAATTATTTGAGGGAGGGCAATTAATACAGGTTATACGGTAGTTGAGGTCTATAGGGTTAAGAACTGAGAATTTTTTCTCTATTAGAAAAATACGAAAAAAAGATTAAATGGATTAATTTTCGTATAAAAGGCTTCTGATAATTTTTTAAAAACACGTTTAAATTATAAAATTATTTTTCCAGAATAAAATTTTACTTTAGACTTAGTTCCATAACTTAAACTTATCCTATAACCATTTATCACGCATCCGAATATCTCTTCTAAACAAATCGAAATCCATGCATACTGCCATATTTATCCATTAGGGTCGGTGGGTCCTAGGAAATCTCTGGGCATCCGGAAACATCCGACAAACAATTTCAGGCATCAGGAACTACCAACCTTACTGCCCATGACCGTTCATAATATAAACTAAAATTTGTAAATATCCGAGCTATTGAAACACGAAACTTTTTTAAAAAATAAATTATATGTTTATCAATTTTAGAAAATAATACAAAATAATATTATAATTATTCTTTATTAATAATATAAGTATTATAATTATTAAAAATAATATTATAACTATTCAATTATTGTGCTGAAATGCTGGTAAATATTTTTAAAAAATATTTTTAAAATATTTACAATTAAAATTTTATTTAAAATTTATTTAATTTAGAAACATCAAAATACTTTAATTACTTTCGGCATTTTATTTATTTTATGCCTCACAAAATCCTATGCTCAAGGTAGTATAAATTCAAAAATTAAATAAATTTAACTTTAATAATAATTTAATTGTTATTATATTACTGTATCTAGAGTTATTCTAGAATTAAAATTGAAGAACCTGATCTTTATGTCCTTTTGCGGACATATAGATAGCGAGCTAGATTTTTACTTTGTATCTTAAGTTATTCTAGAATCAAAATTAATTCAGAATCAGCCACACCTTGTGATGACGGAGAAGAATACTTATCATGTGCTTCTGCTTGCGAGACTACGTGCTCAGATGATGGAAATACTGGTTGCATAGCTATGTGTTATCCGCCAAGCTGTCAATGCAAGCAAGGATATGCAAGGGATGAAAATAAAAAATGCATACCTAAAGAGGAATGTCCAAAAAAGGGTACTACACAAAATGTTACAACAGAAGTACCGAGTAAGTTGTATGTTAAAAGTACAACAGAGGATTCTGGAACCTGCTGAAGGCCAGGTAACAGTAAATCCTTCTTCATATAAAAATCAAGCGAGTTCAAATTTTTTATGTGTTTTGTTGATTTGTTGAGCCATTTGTTGATCATTTTATTTTATATGTTTTGCGGAGCAAATTCCGCGGTGCAAAAAACAGCGGCGCAAAAGTCGGCGCACCGTATATACAGGGATGGGTCTTGACGTATTAAAAAAATTCAGATAGAACACAGAAGGGTAACTAAATATGTTAGCTTTATATCTATGTTAGAGTCTATGAGAGTTACAATTTAGAATATAACGCCCAGAACTTGTATGATAAATTCCCTTTTGGGAAACGGATAAATTATAAAATATAAATCCCCATGGAAGAATTAAAAAAGTTAAAATTAAGATGATGGAACAGAATAAAGCATGATGGAACAGAATAAAGCAGCATGGAATAAATAACTATTATAAAAGAAAAGTTTAAAGGGAAAATAAATTTAATATCCTGATAAAATTAATAAATTACAGATTATTGTCAAGAATATATTTTAATAAAATTTTCAGTATCTTAATATACTTTTTAAACAATAATGGGTGTGTTATAATTATGAAAACTGTTTTAGAAAACATTAAAAGGGTCATTATTTCGGGCCGGACCGGTCGAGTCTTTTTTGGGCTTCTTTCTTTCGAAACGGGCCGTTCGCGTCTTTTTCGGGCCAAAATTCGATGCCCGTTTCGATCTATCGAACCGAACGGGCCGGCAACATCAGTTTGAATGTTCTACTCCAATGGATATGGTTATTAAAATTTTAAAATATTATTTTTAATGTGTTGAAATGTAGTAGTTAGATAACAACTTTTTTAAATTCTTCTTTTAGATTTCAATTTTTTATTTATTAAAATTTCAAAAAATATAAAAATAATTTTTGGCACATTAAAATCCCTCACTCTCCCCAATCTATTTTTAATTTTCCCCCAACTTGATGACCAACCAGTTGTGTCGCCGATTAGCTTCGTTAACCTTGCTGGCGCATCGCTGAAAAAATTTTAATGTTGAGGAGAAAACAAAAGAAAATTATTTTTAGTATATTGGGTGATGAACAAGTTGAAAAAGTGTAAGAGAAGTATAAACAAAAAAAAACAAGAATATATTATATAAAAAATAGCAAATTTCTCGTTGTTTTGGTGTTCTAGTAAATCAACATAAAATAGGAAAAAATTTATTTTTAATTGATATTTTCGCTAAGAATAAAATTAACATTTTTTCTCAAAGTCCATCACTTCCGCTGTTGGATTGGTCAGATTGATCAATCATTTTTTGCTTTATTAGCGGCCAGAAATTTTATTAGCGAAGAAGCTATAATATTACGCGTTCTGAATAATTATAATTATATTTTTAAATAATTCTGATTTAAAAATTATATTAAAATTCTGATTTTTTGTCCTAAATTCTGTTAAGGCTTATTTAAGTGAATTCATGTTTATTTGAAGAAAATTCTGATTTTTAAGTTTAATTTTAAATAATTCTGATTTTAAAGTTTATTATTTAATAAATTCTGACTTCAAGGTTTATTTTATTAAATTCTGATTTTAAATAAGAAAATTCTGATTTTAATTTTATATTTTAATTCAGATTTAAAGTTTATTATCCAAAAATTCTGATTTAGGTTTTATTCTCATTAAATTCTGATTTTGAAAATTGATTTCAGTTATTCCGTTTTTATAAATTATTTTTAAAAAATTCTAATTTTTAAATTTATTTTTATTAAATTCATATTCACTAAATTATTTGCAAAATTCTGATTTTCGATTTTTATTTTTTAAAATAATGGAAATACTGATTTTAAATCTTATTTCTAGTAAATATTCATGTTCTGATTAAATAATTCTGATTTTCAATATAAAAATTCTGATTTTTAATAAATTCCGATTTTGAAAATTATTTCAAAATGATTTATTTTAGTAATTATTTAAGGCCTAATTATTTCTAATTTTTATTTTCTTCAATTAAAATCTCTTCTATTTATTAAATTCTGATTTATAACGCTTATTTTATTTACTGACACATTTTCTTAAAATCTCCCTTCTTATTTTTTAAATAAAATTCCAATTATATTCAAGTTTATTTTAATAATTCTTATTTTTTTTTTCATCTGCTATTAAAAACCCATTTATTTTCCCTTATCTTAATTATTCTTTTAAAAAAAGATTGAATGAAAAGCGCCCATAGATTTCTCGAAAAGGCTTCTTTTTGATACTGATGCTAATAAAAAAATAACAAAAAAAATTTTTCTTTAATAAACTCTCGTTTTCTGGAACGAATATATTAATAACCAGCTTTTGCCCTTTCCAAAAAAATTAAAAGAAAAAATATAAGAGAAGAATAGCCGCGACATCCCTTGCCTAAATCGTTGCTTCTTCCTCCTCCTCTCAATGAGAATAAGAGAAACAACAGATAAAAGCACAACAACAGATGTGTGGTTGAATGTAGGGATGTGTAAAATAAGTAAAAATGGATGGGGAAAAGAAGAAAAAAAAAGAAAGAAAAAATTAAAGTTGTTAGGCTGCTTATTGTTTGTTGTTGTTAGTTGCCCTTAGGTTCTGTTTTTAAATTAATTCTTCCTCCTAATAGGAGAAAGATTTTGCATCTCAATGGGTCTTCGATCAGCTAAATTTACGCGCTTTCCTCAATATTTTTCTTTTCTCGATAAGTTTTGTATACACGCAAAATAATCAACAACATCCGCCTGTACCTTTTTATCATTACATAATATTTATTTTGACAGACAAAATTTAGTTAAGCAAAAAATTGTTTTCTTTATTTTTTAAAATAATAACGGAAGTATAAAAAATTTTTAAAATGTTACTAAAAAATATTTTATCCTTATTCTTCAATTTTCTGTGATGAGTTTTAAATTCATTTTATTCATTAGCCGAATCTTTTTTATTAATCCCATTAGTATTTTTCGAATTTTGGAAGGTCAAAGAGCCAGATTTCTCCCATTTTTGTCCATCGTGTCTTATTCGATTCGGGCCTACTTTTTCCGAGATAACTTTATTCGGGCTTGTTTTTATCGAGACGGGCCGGTACGAGTCTTTTTCGGGCCAAACATCTAGGCCCGACTCGATCTTTCGGTCCGAGTCGGTCCATTTTGGCTATGTACGAGGATGAGCGAAGATGAGTCGGGATTAAATCTTGGGCTAGGTTTCAAGTTAAGAAAGGGCTGGTTTCATCGACTCGTCCCATCTTTTGTTTTTATAATTCACTGTAAAATTTTGACCTATGTCTAAAATAATAGACTAAAGTGCCAGATTATTTTATCTAAAGAATCTAATTTAAGTACGTTGAGCGATCTTTAATATGTTTTGAAAAAACTAAATACTTTGTTTTTATCTAAACTCCTATATCTCTCGCAAAATCTGGAAATTTCCAAGGTATTCAGCTCCCTCAGAGCACTAATTTTTAGTGCTAATTTTTCATGTTTTTATTTTTTGTATTTTTTAATTTATTGGATTATTTCACGCTGGGAATTAACGAGATGAATAAAAATAAATATAAATCCCATTTTGTAAACAAATCAATTATGTATAAATTTTTATTTAAATTTTATAAACATAATTTTTAGATTGTGCCTAAAATGAATTTAATAGGCACAACTACAAGCTTATTACTAATACTACACCTGTTTTCAAGTAATTTTTAATATACATATAAGTGAACCAGTGAACCTCCCTCCTCTGTGCAGTGGCCCTCCCTTCTCCGTCCAGTGACCCTCCCTTCTCTGTCCAGTGACCCTCCCTTCTCCGTTCAGTGACCCTTCCTTCTCCGTCCAGTGACTATATAAATAAATGACAAAATTAAAGGGTTTATATAAATTAAAAAGTATTTAAATGAGAGTTATACCAGGTATTTTGAGCGATTCCAATTGTATATTTGTGATCAAACCAGTATAGGTCAAGGACCGGTTTGAAAACAGAGATTTTGAAATAAGTTTTTTAAGAGTTCCGGATTTTGATTTAAACATGCATGTCCATTTCCGGATTATTTTGAAATAACCCCCGGATAATAGAGCCTGGCATATGAAAATGTTAACTCTATTCTTAAATCTTTTCTTTTTATGAATTAAATCGCAACCGGAAACTGAACAAGAACAACAAAAACAACTCCAAAAACCCAATGGATTAATTACAAGCATGAGAAGAAGACTTTTACTATCAGCTGGAAGCACTCCTGTCTTAATTTATAAAGGTGCGCAGCCGTGGACACCACTAGCGCAGGCTAAAGCTTTTGCGGTGAAAACACAGCCTTTGGTGTTTAAAGGAGAAAATGAAGAATTTAATGAGTTGAAAAGTGATTTGTGGATTTATTTACATTAAAATTTAATTTGGGGTTTAACGGAAATTACTATTTTTAGGGAAAATAAGGGACGGAAACTAGTTACTCAAGAATTGGGAATGGGGTTTTTGACGGCAATTCATACGATTAAAAACGTTTGATAATAAATTTGGATATTAAGGACCTCAACCAGCACAAGCATTAGACGATTTTGAGGGAAGCGGGGAAGAGCCAGAATTATCTCATTCAAATGACTACAATAATAATGAAGTTCCTGAACGAGATGCAAATGTAAATAAATCATTAATATTTTTTTGAGTTTAATAATAAATAATTAAAATAGAAAAATTTAAACTGCTATCTAAGCCTAGTCCTGTATACAAGGCCAATGTAAATAAGGGATGTCCCGGCAAAATTGAATAGAAATGCCTTCCTGTTCCCATTTCATTTAATAGCATTTAGGAACCCTTGTGCTTGATTAGAAAACTTTTAATGTCAATAGGATTGAGGTTTTCGAGTTGGGCCGACGTTCGTGTCATTTTTTCGGGCTTCATTTTTATTGGACCGGCCCGACCGAGTCTTTTTTGGGCTAAAATTCAATGCCCGACTCGATCTTTCGGAACGGGCCGGATCGGACCCCCCAACCTTAAATGTCAATGAACATTGCGAAACTCGATAGAAGCTTTATGGAAATGACACAAAAACACAAGTGCTCTTGCTCTTAAGTAATTTACTTAAAATTTAAACAGTCCGATTTGCATGAATCTCTCCGGCAGCCACTTAAAAGGTTAAGCAATCGACAACTGTCAGTATTGCTAAAACAAATAAGAGGGCAAAGAAGAAAGCAGCAGGGAGAGACTGAGGAAATAATACAAGTATAAAATTTCTAAAAATTTTCGATTCCAAAAAAATTTGGCTCTACTCCAGTTTATGCGTCCAATCGACTTTTATGCGTCCATTGAAAGTTTATGCGTCCAATAAAAAGAAAATTGGATTTTTCTTGGTATTGCACAGTTGGGGTATGGGTCCACAACATTTCTTCATGTTCGGGACCTACGTCCACTGGGTCTGGGACCATTCCTTACCATATTCCTAGAAATTTTTAAAGTTACAGCCAATTTTTTAAAATTTCAGAAAAACGATTATAACTTTTAGAAATTTCGAGGGGTCGGGTAAGGAACGGTCCCAGACACAGTGGACGTAGTTCCCGAACATGAAGAAATGGTTTGGAGCCATACCCCAACTTTACAATACCAAGAAAAATCCAATTTTCTTTTTATTGGACGCATAAACTTTCAATGGACGCATAAAAGTCGATTGGACGCATAAACTGGAGTAGAGCCAAAAATTTTTTTTCAAAGGACGGCCAGAGCCGTAAGTCAATGCTAACAGAACTACACACATTATTACGCTCATCTACAAACAGCCAAAGACTTAGACGTCCAAAATTGTTAACAAATATAAATATAATACCTAATGAATGGAATATATATCCTCCAAAAAGATTAAATAATAATGAAGATATAAGGCTAGAGGGGGATGTTAAAAATGGAGGGGAGAATGAAACTACTAATTTGTTAAATATTTCTTCTATTGATAATATTACAAGGTGGATTTTAAAATTTTTAATTTTATTATTAAGATTTTGCATTTTTTCCATTTTTAGTCAAAATTTGTTATTACTTTTTAAGCAAATAATTTATTGTTAGTTCCACACGAATAAGTAAAAATTGACAAAATCCTCAATTAGCCATAATTTGGGATAGTCTTGTGTCAGTATGAGATATGCCGTGGTCTACAAGTAAAAGACTAACACTTTATCCAAGGTAGAAATTAGGGGTGTAGGCGAAGGTGGAATTTGGGGGTGGAACAGGCTAAGGAGATCAGAGTTTAGCCTGACTAGTATGTCTAACCAGATTGAGATAATACAGGCTTTTATGCAATAGTAAGCTATGAGATGTCGTCACGGTTCTAATAATTACAAGTCCAAAAATTTTTAGTACTGTAAAAGTATAATGTTTTTAAAATTCTGTTGATTCAGATCAGAAAATACAACAGATGAAAAGATTGAAGGAAATAATGAACCTCCCAATGAATCTATTAACAGGGAAACTACAGAAAATACAAACATAGAGACTTCAACAACTGCAGAAAGTACAACTACAGAAATAATACCTTCTCAGAATATAACTACAGAAAATACTTATACAGAACCAACCATTACGGAGGGTTCAACCCCAAATGATGGTCTAACAATAAATGATAAGGAGTTGTCAGATAATGCGGGTAAGATTCCGATGACCCTCTTTAAGGAAATTTGGCTGTAGAATTTGACAACGGAATAAGATTCACGAGTTTTTCAAAAAACTCAGATCCAAATGTTTTCTAAGTACCTGTTCTCATAGAAATTTATGACAGTGTCTTAGAAAACTTTCTAGTTGAAAATTATCTAGTTGGCTTTATTAGAGGGTGATTCTGGAAAATAGTTAAATGAGGAGAGATTTACGTACTGGGACAAATATCTGAATTTATTAAGAGATAAAGTTTTTAGCAAGAGTTTAGCAACCGGGCAGGATTCGAATCTGCGACCTCCTCGTAGATATTGCTAGGCGTTTTCGCTCACAATATACAGGAGCTCTAACACTGATCTACCGGGGCATCGACTAATGCTTTCTCTTTTAACCTTTTAGATCGTTTAACCCACGCCTAAGCGATTTAAATGCTCTAAGGTGTATCATCCTTACAAGAGAATCTCTTTTAAATATTTACTTAATTTTTAAAATATGTTTTAAGAATTTAAAAGAACAACTGAACAAATCGAAACAACAACTAAAACAACAACTGAAACTAGTTCGAGTACTGTCGAATCATTGCATTCTGTTGAAATTGGACCTAGGGAAGATAAATTTGTGAAGACAAACAAAGATGATGTAAGGTGTTAAAGAAAATTAAAAAAAGACACGCTATAATCAGACATCAAGGGACCCTGTATTAGACGGGTCTACGCATCATGTAAATGGGGGGTTGATACTGGATAAAATAAAAGATAAGAGACCTTAAACAAAATTCTGGTTTCTTTTTTTTTCAAAAGTTCTGATCCTTCCATTAAGGTCTATAGCATCCTCATTATAAATCCAAGGCTCTCAGTTATAGGTCGGCTCACTCCGGTCCTGAGTGTGACGTATACGAGGGATTCAAATACATACCCAGTTTATGTTTTATAGTTATACCTGTCATTATTTTTACAATTTTAGGAAAACCCCCACAAATCCAAACAATCAAAACAACCAGAAAAAGATAAACAACAATCTTCTAAACAAACAACGAAATTCGAATCCAAAAAATCAACAAATAAAGACGAACAAAGAATAAAACGCCTGAAAGCACATTGGCGTGTAGTAGAGCAGAAAATTGCTAATGAGATGAATGCGGCTATTAAAAATTCTAGTAAAGTAATTTCTGAAGCGGAGAAAATATTGAACAAGGGTGTTAATAAAAAGGTATATATGGATACAATTTTTAGATTAAATGGATGAGGGAGTTACTATGTAGTCGAAGTTGGGCCCCAAGAGTGGAAACCCATTCCTGGGGCGCGCCGATCCACTAATTAAATTAGAAAGCTTTTTTTAGTTTATTTAACAAATAAATATATTAAAATAAAAGGGAGAGAGAACCGGCCAACTTTTGGTCGGTGAGAAAACTTTAGATCCAATGAATATATTGGCCGGTTCTCGCTCGCCTTTTATGGACCATTGAAAATGGGTGTAAATAATTATTCTCAATTATGACAGGGAAGTTATTTGGATAGATAAGATTTAATTAGGTATTACGTGTGTAAGGAAAGGAGTATTGCCAACTGGCTACCAATTAAAAAGCATACTAGAGATAGCTGGATCTTATATTAAGGGGTTAATTATATGTACATATTAGGAGGATGATAATCTTATAATAGGTGGCTGTATGAGGCAAAATTTTACCATTATCTTAATCCAAAATTTAGAGATTTACTCCATTCTCATGGAGTATCTCTGCCCAATTTCCATTCTATCCCATATTTCCATTCCCTATAAGTCATTAGCCCAACATCCACTAAATCCATTAAGTCCACTATAATACTCATCAAGAAAATACTTTTTTATTCAGAACAATTCAATCATTCACGCCTCAAAAACATTTGAACCTTCATCAAATCCCGAAATTCCTGCCGAGGAAAATAACAAAAAGACACAACTTGAAGACTTCAAAACAGCCCAATTTACAGCTCTAAGTACACAATTAAGGCAGATTAGGCAAAGATATGAAGCTCTAAAACGCCAATATTTGGCTAAACTTAGGTGGCTAAAATCCAAAAAAGAAGGGAGAAGGAAAGGAGGAAAGAAAAAAGATGGAAATAAAATTGCTGGAACTCCAACATTTTTGGATGGGGCAGAATTGAATTTGGATTCTGTTGGAATTAGAAGGAACAAAACTCTTGAACAATTAAATAAAGGTGAAATCCTGTTAAGTAATTTATTTGGTAAAAATTAATTTTATATATCGGGATCGTTTTCTTTAGTGATTCAAACTTGAGGGATTTGAAGACATAATCTCATTAAAAATCGGATAATACCGTAAATTATATAAAACAAAGACTCAAATTAATTCATTGAAGTTCACTTCTAGATGGGCTCTGTTATAGTGAATTTACGGTATTGGATGACACTTTACTTTTATAATATGGAAATGATATTTATTATCACAGAGTAATTAAGAAGAACTCTCCTATTTGAAAAGAAATAATTACAGTTTTGAGGAAAAATCTGGAAAATAGGGATCAGAATTGGACGTTATCTCGAAAAAAATCCCGGGTATCGAGCATGATTTTACACCCATCCAAACTTGTCTTACCACCCTTACACCCCTCCGGTCTCTTCGGATCTAGAGCATAATCAGGAGATTCTAATATTCCCCAAATCCGTTGGAGAGGGGTAAAAACATAGAATACTAAGTACAAAGGAAGAAATTTAATCCTTTATATTAAGAAGACAATAAACAAAGCGATACGAACAGCCAAACAACTGTTGACCAAAACAGCAACACTGAGGACAACAACAAAACAAGAGAAAATATTGGAATAATCCAAACAGAATTGGAAGAACTGAAACATGAAGAAGATTTTGCCAAGAAGATAATTTCAGGCAATATCGAAGAAACTGGTGAAAAGAAAATTGAAGAGACAGCAAGTACTGTGATTGATGAGGAACACCCTACTACTGTTAATGATAAAGAAATAAATGGTAGATGTTACAAAAGCTTAGATAAGCTCTATAACATATTTTCTCGATTAGTTCCCCTCCCTCGAATAATTCCACCTTCGATTAATTCACCATGCTAGAGTTAGATTGAAACAATAATTCCCTGCCCTCAAATAATCTACTGCACGTTCAAATGCCAAAACTCGAATAATTCCCTTTACTAATTCTCCAGGGGAATTAATCGAGAAAATACGGTATGCTACTTGAATAAATATGGCTTAGAGATCCTAAAATCGAAAAATCCCGACGTTGTTAGGGTTTTTCTCAATTCTGGAAAACTGGAAATGAGAAAATTTTCCTTGGCAATTTCCGAATTTTGGGAATTTTTTGAGAATTCCCTGAAATTTACTTATATTTTGCAGAATAAGACTAGTGGGTCTCTTATTTTAAAATTAAGATAAAAAGGCATTACATTTTTCAAGATAACAAGAAATTCAATTCAGATAATACAGACACAACAACAGTAACCTCCACCCCAAATCCAGTACCACCAAAGAAGACAAAGAAAAAGAAGACCCAGGAAAAACAAAAAAAGAAAGACAAACAACCCAAACAATCCCTAAAATTAACTTTGGCAGAATTAGCAGAAGAATTAAATAAATTGGACGAAAAGTTGTTTGGAGATATTGGAGGACAAATAAATAGTACATTAAAAGAGGAGACAGAAAAAGATAAAAAGGAAAAAGAAGAGATTTTGGATGGAAATAAATTTAATAAAAATGAGACGAAGTCGGGAATAAAGACACAAAAAACTAAAATTTTGGGGAAAAAAATGAAAAAACCAAAAATACAAAAACAACAACTCAAAAAGTCATCGAGAGTTAATTCATCTCCTGATCTGAATGTCTCTCAAGTGCCTATAAAACCAGTTAATGGGAATCAAGCAAAGCAAAATGGAAGTCAATTGAGGTGGGATATTAAGTAGTAATTAGTGGTGGGGGCAAGATCAATCTAGAGGTTCAGTTAGACGAGCCGGGTCCCTCAGGTAACCGAGTCACTCAATGATTGAGTTCTCTAATATCTCTCGGAAATGTCTCGGAAATTTTGTTTATCACTAAATGGATGTTGAGTCCTAAAAGTATTTGTGTTGACCATATACCTAGGTAGGCGAACCCTGAAAAATTCCCAGTATCCAGACCGCGTCCCCTTCAAATTAGTACCTTTATCAGTTTACTCCTTCGTCTTATTATATTTTTGGAGAGACAACCCAAGGAAAATTCCCAGTATCCAGACCGCGTCCCCTTCAAATTAGTACCTTTATCAGTTTACTCCTTTGTCTTATTATATTTTTGGAGAGACAACCCAAGGAAAATTCCCAGTATCCAGACCGCGTCCCCTTCAAATTAACTGACTAAATAGTACCTTTATCAGTTTGCCACTTCATCATACTATATTTTAGGAGAGATTTTCAAACATTTTTTATTTTAATGAAATTTCCATTTTCAAATAATAGGCCTTCTGCTCAACAACCCAAACCTCTTCCAACAACTGGAAGACGTATTTTGACAGCAGATTGGACACCAAGAACATTACTAAGTTATGATCAGGATGAGGAAAATAAAGAATTGTCTAATCAACATAATGGAAAGACTAAACCTATTAAAGTGGAGGAAGGGAATAGGGTGGGTAATGTGAATTTTTGAATTCGAGATTGGATTGGGAAATCGTAGTTCGGGATCAATGCACCGACATAATTCTAATTAGAATTATTTGTATCTGGATCACTGTCAGAAATATAAAACCCCATCACAATGTGTTACGAGTAACACAGTATTATCTCGGACAAATTTACGGAGCTTGAGAAACTATAGTTAAAATCACTCGAATTTCATTACCGTTCCTTCCTTTTTGAATACATTGAAAGAATGGAATTGTTTATCCGACACAAGGAAATACGTTCCTAGGAAAATTTCTGAAACCCCGATCTGACTTTTTCCAAACACAGTGCCTCGTTGATACAATGAACTTAAAGGATTTGGCTTCTAAGCCTCATATGTTCTTTAACTTTCAGGACATATCCCAGCAATTAGACTTGCCACCAAACATAGAACATTCATCTGTCGTTCAACAACAACCATTATTAGACCCGTCAAGAAAATCGGTTAAGAAGAAGGGAAAACATAACAAGAATGCTATAACAACTCAACAACGAACACTACCGGTTCCTACCCAACAACAAAATTCTCCCCAAAAACAAAACGGGTTTTACCAACTTGATAAGGCACAAGTTTCTAACGGTATCTTTCATTCCTTCTCATATACTATCATATATTCTTGATTGAATAACTTCCTTAACTAATGCTTCAATCTCAATTCGAGAATACCTTGATTTGATCATTTACATTAGTGTTTTAGTGTAATTGAATTTAATATTAAACGCACCAACCCTGACAAACCCCGACCTTTAAATCTTCAAAACAGAAAAGTTTAAAAATAATAAAAGCTTCGGAACTTAGAAATCGAAAAAAATTCCCAAAATAATTCTCGAGCTATGCTACAAATTATCCAAATGTGTGGAAGTGATTATAACTTTCAAAATTGTTCGTAATCGTAATTCGTACACCTCACCCCCCCATTTTGGCCTCGTACTCCCACTTTGCATAATCCCATTTTTTGTGATTATGCAATACTCCCACCAATTACGAGGTGCAATCAACCAATTACGAGTACGAATTTTATTACAAGCGTTCAATCACTGGCGTGGAATTAGTATATCTTATAGGATCTATATCCCCAATATAGGCTTATAATCAAATGATAAACTTTCAGTTATTCCAAACAAACCCCAAACAACTCCAGACAATTCCGAGTTTAAATTAAAAGGAGTTTCACAAGTAGAAGTTAAAGCCAGTCCAGAACATATCGAAGAAAATGAACAAAACAACGAAAATGAAGAATTGACCGAACAACAATTACAATTAAAATTACAACAAGAAAGTTTGCAACAAAAGAAGGCCATAAAACAACAAAACGGGAAGGAAATAAAAAAGAAAAATAAGAAAAAAAATAAAAAGAAAAATAAAAAGGGGGAGATGGTTTTGGAAGAGGAATTTAATGAATTGGCCAATTTGGAAGAATTTGCGAGAATTGATGAACAAACGATTTGTGATGCTATTGCTTGTGATTTTGAGACAGGTGAAATGATGAATAATACAGTAGTATAATTAACAGAGTTTCAACGGAAGTTCCGTTTTTAGAGAGTTCAACGTTTTTTTGGTACCGGTTCCGGGAACCGGAACGGAGATAGGATCCGGCTCCGGTTAAAATTCGTTTCCATTGAAACACTAATAAGTAGGCGAAAATCCGTAGGTTCATCCGACATCAAAAATAAATTCGTTAAGAAACTCTGGAATTTTTTATCCCCGATTTTGAGAATCGCGATTTCCGTCAAAAAAAACGTCGGGAATTCTAAATTTTTATTAGTCAAATAGAATAGATTCCTGGTGTATAAAATATGGAATTTAGACTGGGGTCGATTTACTTTGACACAAACCTCCAACTTATAAAAATCTGTCAAACACGGACTCCGATCTTTCGATCAAAGTTATGGAGCTATCATATACGATACATATTTTCACATTTATATGAGGGTTCATATCTATTAGAAATTAAAACTTGAATAATCGGGATTAGAAAAAGGAGATGATACTGTGAGTAGATATAGAAAATCCGCGAATAGATATAGAAAATCGGCCGGTTTCTGCCTATCTCGAAGTGAGATTTCCCTTTTATGCCTGTTTTGCGCTAATAACTAGAGGCGTTAATAAGCGTTAGATAAGCAAAAGAGGAATTGATAATTGGATGTTTAACTACAAAATTATTTATTTGAAGGTACTCTGTGTGAATGGGAAGCTAGTATCGACGAATTACATCCAGGTGACCCTCGTTATAAGCGTTACTTGATGGCTAGAAGGCAACACATAATGGATAGAATGATGAGGAAAATGGTTAAGAGAAGTAAACGAGATGCTGAACAAACTGAAGAAGAATCTAAAGGGGAAGAAATTGTTGAAAAAGTGCCAAAAAAGAAGAAAAATAATAAAAATAAATTAAATAAAAATAAGGATAAAAAGAAGGGGAAGAAGAAGAGCAAAAAAGAAAGTGTAAAGAGGGTATTGAATGAGGAGAAGAATCAAACTACGATTCTTAGAACTTGGCATAATTGGGTTGGGCAATACAAAAATAGGTTGACGGGGATTGCAAAATCAGGTCGGTAAAAATTGGTGGAAGTATTAATTAAAGAGGGTAACAGTTTGGGAAAGAGTACAGTTTTTTTCTAAAAAAGAAATCTAAAATCGAGGGACTAGGAGGATGAGTGCAATAATTTGAGCGGAATCTACTTGGGCTAGGTCCTCCCGGTGTAGAGAAGGGAAGAGGCCTACTTCATGGTTAAAGTAGAGACCGGCACGGGCCGGGACCCCGTACGGGATCCCGTCCCGGAATCCCAGGTTTTTCGCGGAAAACGGGATTAATCCCGCGGGATCCCGTCCCGGCCGAACTTTTGAAAAAACCCCGTTCCGGGATCCCGGGAATGCGATTTTGCCGGACTCTAGTTCAAAGCATGATGCATACCATTATTGGCATCCGAGCAGTAGTCTAGTATGTATTAATAGGGGTATTTATACATATAGGATTTTGACTCCTATAAATCCATCCATAATTTTCGACTATATTTTTAATTTAACTCTTTTAGTTTATAATCTAAATTTGTCTTTAAAAATTTATATTAAGTAAAATTAATTTCAGAGTTCTTCTCAACTCGAAATCAAAGATTTGCGGCTTCTTATCTAAAACCCGGTCAGCGGTCAACACTTACTGGAAGAGTTTTGAGTGGCGAACAGGCGAATATTCGCTTTTGGGTGTGGGAAGCTACAAGGTGTTTTTTATAAATTATTTCGAAATTTTCTTCCTTAAAGAGACCTACAATTACGCGTTTGTTGTGACGACACTAATGATAGACAATGTGTTTTCCAAACTGACAGAGGTGTAAAGCGGGGAAGTAGGCGATGGGTTGAACAGGATGCTACTTGCCCACAGGGCACGAAAAAGGTTTTTAAATTTTATCGTTAAATGTATGTGCTAAGTGATATCAGAGTCCATTTCTGACCAAAAACTAGAAATCAAATAAGGGGCTTTTGATCTCCATAAATGGAAAGTACCATCGACGAGTAAATGCGGAAGTCCCTAGATTTATCCGCCAACCCCCATTATCCGCCAACCCCCATTATCCGCCAACTTCAGTAAGGATTTAAGCATAATAGCTTAAGTTCCCAGACTTCAAGTCTTCAGATGTCCAAATCCTTACTGAAGTTAGCGGATAATGGGCAATGTTCGGATATCCTGATCTGGACAAGTATCCGAAACGAAAATTTATGTATATCTAGGATGTTTCATCCGGATATCAAGAATTGCCCCTATATTTCAATTAAACTATTAAGTGGATAAGGTTTAATAGTTCTCCCTATGGTTACTCAAATAGAGTAGAAAACGATAGGGTTTGAGAGCCAATGGGAAAAAATATCTAACTTTCCTAAATTTCTAGATAATATTTGAATGCCGTAACTTGGGGCGGTTTCAAGGTGCTTGTGGTTTAGACAATATTCAATTGCTCAATAATTATTGTCCTTCAATTACTTCAACTAGAATAACAAGAAAATAATTTTTAAAAATTACCTCTCTTAATTAAAATTAGTTAGTTGTTAAATTAATTTTATTTTTTGGCAATAATTTGGAAAGCAAAAAGTACTCGATAACAAAATTTAAAAATTTTATTGTCAAATAATTTTTAAATAATTTATTAAATATTAATGTAATATTAGGCCTTTCTGATTAAAAATTCTATTTTAATTGAATAAATAAAAATTTAATTATTTGAATGAAGAAAATCATTGTACAAACAATGACTTCAGAACTTAATAGATTGTAACGGCTTAATAAAATCATAATACCACTAATGACTTCTGAACTTCATAAATTATTTTTAGACAAGTCTTGATAATTACATACAACCTACATATATTAATAGACAAATATTCGGAGTTTCAGTAAATCAAAAATTAGGCTTACTGGAAAAATTATGATTTAATTTTCATAAATACTTATTACACTTGAAACGACTTTATACTATATTACTAATTAGGGTTGCACAAAACCGTTTAACTAAACGGTAAACGGTATACGGTAAATGGGTTTTTTGGTAAAATTAAACGGAACGGTATACGGGTCTCAAATAAACGGCATAAACGGTATACGGTTCTTCTAAACGGCGTTTATTTCGTTTAATTTTTTCCTCAAATTAGTTTAAACGGTTTTGTGCAACCCTATTACTAATCATTAATCGTTAAGTTAGAACAAGTTATCTTAGGGTACAGCCCAAGTAGGCGCGCGGCCATGTAGGCGCAAAGCCATAACTTGCTTCAAGTTTTCCGAATCTTGCCAAATTTAGTATTAAACGATTCCTCTCATCGAGCTAAAGAGAATGGTACCAAAGATGTTAAGGTCCAGAAAAGTTCCAGATAGTTATAGCTTTGCGCCTACATGGCCGCGCGCCTACTTGGGCGTGTCCCGTTATCTTACATGCAAAATGATTATTGATTTGCTGGTAATACAAGAATCGAGATAATTATGTAGAAATATTTTGAATCTTGATAAATGTATTTCTTTTCAAAATTTCGTTCGGCTTATTTCTAATTGTTAGTTGGAAAGCTGCAATTTCTTGTTTAATTTTTTTTGTCAAATGAAATTTTCATAATATTAATTAATTCATTTAAATTATAATAAATAAATACTTAAAAACTCTACCACTATGAAGTCAAAATTAGTGTTATTTTATTTTTGCAAGTCAAGCTTTAATGCTTGACTAGTTTAATTTTAATTTTACTCCCGTTACATCAAACTTATTGAGAGGTCGAGTGTCGAAGGTCTTGTATACATTTTCACTTATTCGTAAACAAAATTTGTACAATATTAATTAACTCAATTAGTTCTAAGTAAAAGACTATTTAAAACTTAAAAATTCACTTCAGACAAACGAGCCCTCATTCGATATTTTTGTAAGTTAAGCCTTTATGGCTTGAATAAATTGTTGAATACTTAATTGAATTTTATTTTTTCTGCACATCATTGAGATTTGAAGCGATTGAGCTTAAATTCTTATTTTTTAAACTGAACATCTCATAATATTGGAAATTATGGATATAATTTAGCCGGAGGCCTTGAAAATACTTCTCTATGTCTAACAATTGTATAACAAAAGCTTCAATCTTCACGGGATTGTATATTAGCCCAATTAAATTGTGTTTTGATTTTGGTGCATTCGACACAGTTCGACATACTACGCTTTCGAAAGAACCTCCCCCGAATATCTTCTTAGATTTTATAAAATTTATAAAAAAGTGTTTATTAATATCTAATGAAGTGAAAAATTATAACAAATGTGTAAAATGTCTTCCCTCTGCCAGGATATACGCGTCCAAACGCTTACTAAATTTGCCCACCATGGTCGCGCACTCATCCACAATAATTGAATCCCAGTCAAATTGCAACCCCGCTTATAACAACAGACAAAATCATAGACAATTGCTTCCAAGGAAAGGCCTTGCTTCCAAAATTGTTAAAAAAATGCTTCTCTCGGTACTCTGTAATGTTGTGGGCCGGGATTTATGCCACTGGATCACTGTGCACAAAAACAATGGATCCCTGGGCAAAGCAACAATGGTTTTGGCCGGGATTTGTTCCATTGCATTCCTGGGCACAGCAACACTTAGATAAAACCAATTTTATGCCGCAGCAGTATTGGGCCCCTTCAGATTGAGCAAAAACAATGATTTACCTCTGCGAAGAGTTGTTTCCAGGATTTTGGGGCAAAGACATTTATTCAAATAACACCCCAGATCTGAATGATATGGACACGTAGTTTGGTAATTATTGGAGCAGAGAGTTCCATGGATATGATTTATATCAAAAGATGTGAATAAGAGGGATTGCAACTGGTCTGGGACTCAATTACTGCGGTTAAGTGCGCGACCATATTGGGCAACTTCAGTAAGCGTTTAGACGCGTATATCTTGGCGGAGGTCAGACATCATGGAAATTTGTTATGATCTTTCTTTTCCTTAGATATTAATGAACACTTTTTGATAGATTTTATAAAATTTAAGAAAATATTTGAAATAAATTTTTTGCTTAACAAAAGTACGGGAACTTTTGCCGCACCCTGTATAACAAAAGCTTCAATCTTCACGGGATTGTATATTAGCCCAATTAAATTGAGTTTTGATTTTGGTGCATTCGACACAGTTCGACATACTACGCTTTCGAAAGAACCTCCCCCGAAAAATCATTTGGCTCCTATTGTCTTTGAACCTTTAATGACCTACATATATCTCAGCTCGTGGGCAGTTCCACAGATTGGGAGTGATTTATCCGACTCAACTCGCTAAAATGAATCGATTGGTATACATATAGGGTTTTAGAGTAGGCCACCGTCTAAATTACAGCCGGTATTATATCACTTAGACAAATAAAAAATTTTATGATAAAATAAAATTTATCAGATAATCAAATTAAAAATAAACAAATTAGCTAAAAAATAAATATTTTTCCAAATATATTTTTCCTCTTAAAAAATTCATTTCAACCCACAAGGTTGTTTAAAATAGTTCCACTAGTCATAAAATCGGCATATTGATGTTTACTTCTATCCGCTGCAGTATCCTCACTATAGAGTGTTTTGGCTTGATTTGAGGCCTGATCACGTCGCTTTCGCAATAACTTATCCATCACAGCAAAACGGCGTTTGCGTCCCACAAGATTGTAGAGAATAGTGCCTCTGGTATATGGATCAGCCCAGGATGCCTCCACCGATGTTTGCTTGTCCCAATGGAGAAATTGAGAAATTAAAATGATCAGAAATAAAATAGTAGCTAAACGGGGGTGTTGAAAATGAGAAATTTTAGTCATTTTTATTTTTGGGTAATTATATTTTTAGAAAAATTTAAAAGGAATTTTGTTATTGTTTTTAAATGATTTGGAAATTTTTTTAGATTATTTTGTTTATTTTTACATTTTTTATTTGCGCAAAAATGTGTAAACAGCCAAAATTAACCGCCTATTTGATTAATGATCAAAATTAAATTTTCTCCGATATTTTAAATTGAGTTGTGATTTGTAACAAATATTTTTTCAATTAAAACATAATTTAAAAAAAATGAATAAAAATATATTTAAAGTAAATAAAAATCAGGTTAAACATTTTAAAAAAGCGCAGAAATTTTTAATTTTAAAAATGCATACGGTAATGAAATTTTCAACATGAAATGTAACATTGAAAGTTGTAAACACTAAGCGGACGGTATTTTCATGCAGTATTTTTATTACCGACAGTATTCCGACAGATTCTTATCAGTAGTATGGTAATAAGACAAAACACTTGATAGTGTAAAGCATATAGCTATCTAATTCCGGTAATATTCAATTTCGTACCCCCCCCTCCTTTTTCCTTCTACAAAGTATTATAAAATGGTCAGTCAGACTTAGATTATAGAACTCGTCGAGCTGTGTCGAATGACACCAAAATCAAAAAAATTGGACTCGATTTGACCGAAATACAGACCCCTGAAAATTGAACAACCATAGGGGCGATTTTTTGAAATAAAAAATTTTATCAAATGATAGCTCATTCGAAAGAGCTCGTCAAGCTGAGTCGAAAGACACCAAAATCAACGTGATTAGACATGGTTTGACAAAGTTATGACATTATGTAGACCTAACGGAGTCGGCGACTTTATGTCATAAATTTGTCAAATCTTGTCCAATCACGTTGATTTTGGTGTCATTCGACTCAGCTCGACGAGCTCTTTCGAATGAGCTATAATTTGTATAAATTTTCGTCCTTATGGGTTTTCGCCCCTATGGTTGTTCAATTTTCAGGGGTCTGTATTTCGGTCAAATCGAGTCCAATTTTTTTGATTTTGGTGTCATTCGACACAGCTCGACGAGTTCTATAATCAAGTCTGACTGACCATTTTATAATACTTTGAAGAAGGAAAATAGGAGGGGGGGGGTACGAAATTGAATTTTACCCTAATTCCTAATGCTGTGCAGTAGGCGGCATGGTGTAATGGCTAACACATCAGTCCGGTCTACTGAAGATGCTGGTTCGCTCCCAGCCGCCGATTAACCTTTTGCACTAGCTAAAGGATAGAAATAGCTATAGCCCAGCTGCTTTACTATAGTGAAGATAGAATGTAGAGAATAGTGCCAGCCCACTACGACTCCACTGAAGCCCACGATACCTCCACAGAATTCTTCGTAATTATGAGACTTATTGGATACCTACAAGTGGAAGGCTTGAACTTGAAAGTTCAAAAAATTATTGTCAATAGCTTTATAATAATCTTATTTTTAATTTAAAATTTGAACACATAATTTTTGTTATAATTAATTAATATTAATCCAATTTATTAGTTATTTTAACGACATTCAACCCCTTTCGTAAAATCCAAATTAGTATCCAAACTTGTAACTCTTTGAACGTCGAAACTAGCTTTTCTTGTGGGATGACAGAATGGAAATGAGGAAACAGCTTCGTATCTTAAAAATTAGGAGTTTAAATTTTGTTTTATTGCTAAGGATAAGTTCAGAGTTTAATGTCTACTGTAGCTTGAGTTTTAAGGAATGGTGAATTCAAGGGTCTATCTCGAAACCTTGGTATTTTGATTGGTCCTTAATTTTATTAGTCATGTTAAATGATGAATTTTGACTTATTGGCTGTAGCCAAACCTTTATGCTGTGGTTACATAAAAGTCGCTTTGCGTTTTGTGACAGAAAATAGCATGCAACATAATGAGAGACAAAATCGCGCGCGATTTTGTCTCCTCTTTTCCTTTATCTTTTCTGTCGCAAGACGCGCGCTATTTTTATGTAACCTAGCATTAGGTAAGCTTATCCTTGTAAGGATAAATAAAAATATTGTAGGGGCATTTTGTTCAGATGGGGGATTTAGATTTTATTAGGTAAGCTTATCCTTGTAAGAATAAATAAGTTATTTTATTATCAGTTTATTTCAAAAAAGAGAAACGGGGTATAGGAAAGAGGGTTAGTTCGGAACAGGCTGACTGCCCCTGCTTTACTATAGTGAAGATAGAATGTAGAGAATAGTGCCAGCCCACTACGACTCCACTGAAAAAAAAAAATTTATTTATTTAAACAAATATATAAGATTGATCGGAGAACAGGGCTAAAGAGCAGTTAAAGTAAGAGCTAAGAGAGAAAATATTAATTGAGAAGAAAGGATTGTGTGAGAATAGGAAGTTTATTAAAGCTTTTATAAGGATTGTTATCTGTATGGACATCTTTTAAAAGATGTGGGAAAAAATAATTTATTTTAAAATTCGCACAATGCGACAAGGGGATTGCGCGCAAATTTTTTTTCAATTGCGGGCACCCCCTATGGTTTTTTAATCATTAAAGTCCGTTTATTAATTTCAAAGATTCGTTTCAACAATTTTCACTCTTTCTTTAGTGATTCCATCCTCATCCAAGTAAAATTCATAACCTCCATCAATAAGCAAAGGAGATATTGCGGCAATTAATTCTTTTTCGGGCTGTTGGTAGAATACGTTTCCACTATATACTTTCATTTCACCATTTTCAATAACATCTACCTCTGTTTGTGATATAGAGATTCCTGTTCTTTGTCTCAAATTTTTCAATAGATTTTTATCTAAATCAGAAATTGTCTTGAAAATTTTTAATATACATTTTTCCTCATTTATTATTTTAATTTTAACGTAAAATTGAAACCATCCAATTTCATGAATATCTGATACATAAATCCAATAATTCCCTGGATTTTCAAATTTTAAACAAATTTCAATGTGAGAATATTCCATTTTCTCTTCATGTTTTTTGCCTTTTAATGAGGTTGACTCAATTAAATTAGCTTTGCTAAAATTATATTTTTTCGAAATTTTTCTGAGCCCTTCCGGATTCAAAAAATATATTAATCTTGTCAATTTATAATTGCTTTGAGATTTCTGTATTAACAATAAGTTTATTCCGTTAATTTTTATTATCATATCTGTATATAATGTTGAATGTGTTATTCTCTCACTTGAAAATTTATTAATCTCCAAATCTAATTTTGTAGAAAACATAGGCAACAAAGTTATTAATAACTAAAATTGAAATAAAGTGACTTCAAAATTCTATGTATAACAGGAATGGAAGGGCTACGCAATACTTGAGAGTTGAAACCCGGTCTTTTTTGACCCGAACCCCGATCCTAGAATTTTTATTCTTAAAACCCGTCCAAAATTCGACACAACTTTTTTCTTGACCCGACTCCGAAGAAAAACCGGATATCCGAAAATTTCGGTTCGGATATACGATCCGATAGCCGAAGATTAACTACTATCAGGCAACCTTATTCTCATGATATATATCTAAACTTTTATCTTCTCTCTCATATTACTACCGTTCTCTTCTCTATTTGAATGTCATGGCATTCTATTTTTCAATTACCTTCAAAGGTGGCATTTTATTAGAGGGTGGTATTGAATTACGGTATATTTTTTACGATGTTTTATCCAAAGTGAAGTTAGTGTTCCGATTGTATTTGTTTACCTTTTTAATCTCAGTTTCATAAGAATATTCAATACCTTCTTCCAAGCAAATATTAATTCGTATTAATTTTGAATATAAGAACAAATCCTCAATCAAAATTAATTTTTTCCCTTTATTTCCATTAATTTTACTTTTTATTTTGTGTGTAGTTTGGTTAATGCTACCACAATTGTATGAATAATCACTTGTATAAATACGATCTTTTTCATATTTTTCATCAATTTCGTATAAAATTTCAATTTTATATTGAATTTCTTCTACTTCAATTTTATTTATTTCCATTCTCAACAAATTTATTTTAACACTTCCATCCTCATTTTTATTATTTTCTGTAGATTCAACCAAAATTCGTTGATTATATTTATAATCAGAAAAAGAATATTTAAAAAATATTAAAAATAATATTTTAGAAATAAATAAAAATTCAATAAAAAACATTTTTAAAAAATTTATTTAGCTTTTAGTTGATAGTTTCGCCTGTATTTTATAAATACAAATTTCTGAAGGAAAAATTGTTTTATCAATTAAAAATTATATATAAACTTCCTATGACAAATTTTATATTTCATAATTGCACTTTAAAGACAATATTAACCTTTGACAAATAAAGATTTTATTTCTTAAAATTTATTTACCTATAAAATAATATTATGAAATATTCTCCTCCTTATTTATGCACTTTAAAAAAAATATTTGTCGGTAAAAGTAGAAATGTCTTTTGTGGACATATAGAGAGCTAGAATTTTATCGGCAAAATATTTTCTCAAAGACTTCTAAAGTGCATACATAAGGAGGAAAATATTTCATAATAATATTTTATAGGTAAATAATTTTTAAGAAATGAAATTATTATTTGTCAAAGGTTAATATTGTCCTTAAAGTGCAATTATGAAATATTAAATTTGTCATAATTTATAAAAGTACACAATTTTTCCTTTAAAAATTTGTATAAAATAAGAGAGAATCTGTCAACTAAAATAAAAATTAAAGTTTAAAAAATGTTTTTAATTAAATTTTTATTTATCTTTAAAATATTATTTTTAATATTTTTTGATTATTCTTTTTCTGATTATAAAAATAATCAACGAATTTTGGTTGAATCCACAAAAGATAATAAAAACGAGGATGGAAGTGTTAAAATAAATTTGTTGAGAATGGAAGTTAATAAAATTGAAGAAGGGACTGGCTTTTATAAAATTGAAATTTTATACGAAATTGATGGAAAAAATGAAAAGGATTATGTTTATACGAATTCAAGTTCGTATGTAAACGATTGTGGTAACTTTGACGAGACAACACACAAAATAAAAAGTATAATTAATGGAAATAAAGGG